ATACCGAGATCTTTGATATTTTTCACACTCTTTAGAATTTCACCGTTTGGATCAAGTGTATAGCTCCCTTTCGACTTATCTTGTTTGTGCGTTATTCTCATTGTTTCACATTTATCGGGATTAAATTTCAACTGCCAGGTTTTACACCATTCAGTGAGTCGAAACAAGTCAGATTGTAGCACATGCGTATCCTCAGGAATGTTCACTATCTCCCTATAGAGTTTAGTGTCGTCTGCGTACAATTTCACAGCGGAAGAAACTCAAGTTGATATATCGTTGACGTACATTATGAACAAGATGGGCCCTAAAATTGTTCCCTGAGGTACGCCTGATTTTACCTGAGTCCATGACGAATAGCTGCCGCGCAAAACAACACGTTGCGACCGACCAATTAAAAAGCTTTGAAACCAATTGAGAATTAAGAGGGCCGTAAATACCGTGTCTTTCTAATTTATGAAGCAGACGTCTGTGTGGAACACTGTCAAACGCTTTGGTGGTAGAGAAAAGAGAAAACAAAATGGACAGTCCGATCTTTGAAGATTTTCACACTCCGTTAAATTGAAATCTTACGTACGATAATAAGAAAATCAAACACAGCTAACACTCCTATAGCATATGTAGTTTCGCGTTTAAAAAGTGGCGAGCATCACTCGAGTACGTCTCGTGTTTCTCCCTAAACCTCTCGTTTCTCGTGTTCGTGCTCTAGCCACTTACTGCGTGCTTCACAACAGAACAGAACACTGTCAAGGCTTCTCTTCTTTTTAGGAACACGCTATCAGTTATCACGGTAGTCTTCACATGGCCAACAAACGCCAAAAATAACGAAAATCAGGTTTCAGATGGAGAACCTCTTAATTTTTTTACTCTCCAGCATATCTCGGAAGTTATCCCATAGTTTCGACTTCAAATTCAGGGTTTGATAGTACTAGTGCAATTATGCAATTCGGTATCAATACAATAACATGTTGCAATATCGTAAATGATTAAATTTTCAACTCCGAATATTACATTTCTTGTGTCCTGATTGCTTCACTCAGCTCCTGTCATCTGCTCATATATCGAGTTAAGTTACCTTCTACAAAATACGTTGCGCCAACTGTTGCGGGGATGAAAAAAGTTCCAGATATCCAAACGTTCAGGATTTGATGAAATTTAATAAAATAGTTATTCCATTTACGCTTGTTGGATACGAGATTGGTTGTAGCCAACTCGGCGCCACTCACCTCGTTGGCTATAGACCACTTTCATAAATGGATGCCTTATAAATATTCTTTTGTTTGAATTTAAATTAGCCCTTCTGGCCTCGCTTGAGATAATGTTTTCTTTTGAATTTTGTACTGGAGAACGAGGCCACTAGGGCTAATTTAAATTTAAACAAAAAAATATTAATCCGGCAGCCATTTATGAAAGTGGTTTATTTACCATATCATATCCAACGCGCGCTCGTGGAAGTAAGTATCCGCTTCTGCAAACTTAGTCCCAGTCTCCCAGACTCGCGACCAAAGCTGTTCTAACATTGCTACTTGTAGAAATAAAACAATTTTTTTTAACGCAAATATCCTTTACGGGCAATTAAACTCAACTGTGTGCACGGAACAATGCATTTTTCTTTCTTGGAAGAAAATTCACGTTACGTTTCATATAACGTGTGTACCACGCACAGAATGATTGGATTTGTTTGCTCAGTACTCTAACGACATTCATGTAAAAATCTCAAAAGTCATTATCACCGTTATACTTATACACGCACTAGTGGTTCAGTGGTAGAATTCTCGCCTGCCACGCGGGAGGCCCGGGTTCGATTCCCGGCTAGTGCATTTTTGCTTTTGGCAGTGCTTCCAGTATGACAATCTAGCCTCTAGAGTTACCGAATACGGTAAAGAGTTTAATTTTTTT